AAAGAGAGAGAAAGAGAAAAGAGAAAGAGAAAGAGAAAGAGAAAGAGAAAGAGAAAGAGAAAGAGAAAGAGAAAGAGAAAGAGAGAGAGAGAGAGAAAGAGAAAGAGAAAGAGAGAGAGAGAGAGAGAAAGAGGCGAGGAGTGGGCGCGGAGTGGGCGGGCAGAGATGGAACACCAGGAATCTATCACAAATGCCAACTGTAGATGACCAGATGACCTTATCAGACAAATATTCCAAGGACAAGAGAGTCACTAACACCCTCGCAAAGAAAAACAAAAACAAAAACAACAGCAACGCAAAAACAAAACGAGGAAGCCCATATGTTAATTAACCAAAGAAAAAAAAATAGATTCATATAGTCCTTTATTTTGTTCTCTCTTTGTCCAGTAAAGAAGTTCAGTGTACGGAGCCTGAGTCGTCTGGCCCATCTCACATGCCTCCCGCCCGGCATCCACGTGGTAGTGTGTCAATTCCCACGATTAGACCACGTGCTTTACGCCACCTCGAGTATCCAATCACGTAACGCCCCGCTAATGACGTCACGGTTCAGTCGGGGGTCAGAACTTACAACGGCGCTCGTGATTGGTGGAGGGGAGTCTGAGGATGCTCCCATTGGTCGAGAGGGTCCTACACGCCCTCCAAGCTCGTAGCTGATTGGTTCGTGTTCATTGTTTATCACGTGGCGACCATAAAGCAAAAAAGAGGTTTCTGGAGATGCACCGGTTTTAGAAGACGGGAAAAATTGTAAACTTTATATCACCCGCGTTGACAATGAGCCTAAAAAATCATGAAAGAAGGACATTGGGGAAGCATACCGGTTTTCCAACGCTTCGTGAATACAAGTAATTCAAATTATTAGACCTTTAACGAAATGCGAGACTGTCTCGTGCACATGGCGGGCTGCAACGTTGCAAAACCTTAACTTCGTTGTTTGTTGAGCGAAATTAACGTTGCTTAAAGGGAAATGGTGCATTTGCTTATAGTTTGCTAATGGATTTGTGAAGACTAAGTTCATTATATAGTGTAAATTCTGTTTTTATTTGCTTAAATTAATTATTTGATATTTGATAGCCATTATTTACTGAATATTCATAATGAAGTGAAATAAAATCAGAAAACCCCCATTAATATTGCATAATGTACCCAACTAACCCTTATATAAAAAAATAAAAAAAAACTCTTTATGTAAAAGGAAATGATAAGAAACTTCAAAAACAAAACCATACCGCGAAGGCCAGATAAAATCTTCCTTCTCCTTTTTTTTTATTATTTTTTTTTTCATTTTTATTTTCTTTTTTTAGATCTAAATTTCACATGTGGATCCTATAAACACTCAGACAAAGAGCGTTTATCTTTTGAAATTCTCTTTGACCAATCAGCGACCTCGTTTCATCCTAGACTTAGGAACTTAACCAATAGCGTGTCTTCTTGCGTTTTTTTTTTTTTTGCTTGTATTTTTTTTTTCATCGTATTTTTCTTGCGTTTTTATTTTATATTGTTTTGTTTTATTTTTTAAGTTAGATTTTTTTTTTTTAAGAGATCAACTACCTCTGTTTGTGTGGTTTGCTGCAAGAGTAATTCCAGAGTTTTATTGCTGGGCGAATGAGAGAGAGAGAGAGAGAGAGAGAGAGAGAGAGAGAGAGAGAGAGAGAGAGAGAGAGAGAGAGAGAGAGAGAGAGAGAGAGAGAGAGAGAGAGAGAGAGAGAGGAGAGAAAAAGAAAGAGAAAGAGAGAGAGAGAAAGAAAGAGAAAGAGAAAGAGAAAGAGAGAGAGAGAGAGAGAGAGAGAGAGAGAGAGAGAGAGAGAGAGAGAGAGAGAGAGAGAGAGAGAGAGAGAGAGAGAGAGAGAGAGAGAGAGAGAGAGAGAGAGAGAGAGAGAGAGAGAGAGAGAGAGAGAGAGAGAGAGAGAGAGAGAGAGAGAAAGAAAGAAAGAAAGAAAGAGAGAAAGAAAGGCAGACAGACAGAGACAGACACACAGGCAGACAGACAAATGCAAAAACAAAGACAAAGACAGACAGACAGAAACAGAAAGAGAGACCGATGAGAACGAAAAAAAAAAAAAAATACTCGTCTGGTGCTCCTCAATGTCAACATGAAATGTCTTTATACGTTTTCTGTCAGTTTTTAAACAAGGCGGATCTCCAGTGAATATGCTGATAATCTATTAATATCATGCCATAAGTTATTTTTAATGCTTACAGGAACTCATTACTAAGTACATAATTTGCTGTATGGCTGGACATAACTGGTACTGTCTCGTGACGAAAGCAATATACATAGTCATTATAATTATATACAGGATATTCACATTTATAACTGCGAGTTACATAGAATCACTGATTCATAAAACATATGCACACTTTCACACACACACACACACACGCACACGCACACGCACACGCACACGCACACGCACACGCACACGCACACGCACACGCACACGCACACACACACACACACACACACACACACACACACACACACACACACACACACACACACACACACACACACACACGCACACGCACACACACATGCACACACACACACACACACACACACACACACACACACACACACACACACACACACACACACACACACACACACACACACACACACACACACATATAGATGAGGAAGATTGTGCCAAGTGATTAATCAAAGTTACCTAAATTTCTTCCTCATACCTATCTTACTTATAATCTCCGTGTTTATCTAAATAACTAGCCTACCGCCCTACCCATGTCAAATTCCTAAACATCCATATTTGATAACGCGGAAGACAGTGAGACACACACACACACACACACACACACACACACACACACACACACACACACACACACACACACACACACACACACACACACACACACACACACACACACACACACACACACACACACACACACACACACACACACACACACACACACACACACACACACACACACACATTCGTACGTGTATATACATATATTTATTTATTCAATTATTTATTTATATCACACTTCATATTTACGTTAAAGAGCAGTTTTATATTGCATCATTTATCAATGAAAAATTATCTACCCCCCTCCCCCCCGCGCCGGGAACAGTCCTGCCAACTGCCCACACACATAAGGCGATTATCTTAAGACAATATCCCTTATCTTTAGTACAAAACAAAAATCACATTCCCATCACGTGAAAGCCTATTAAATCTTGCTTTCTTGTATGAATTACGAGAGATTTCGAAGTAAACACTCGAAGTTATCAATGCAGCTTGGGATGGTCGTCACGTGATCAAGTCGTGTTTTGGATTAGAGACGTAAATGTTATGGGTCAAGACTTTTCTTTTAATGTTTTTTTTTTTCTTTTTTTTACTGTTTTATTCTCTTGTTGATCTGTACATGGCGGTCCAGTAATGTGGGTTGTTTGAGGAGACGTTAATATAATGTGGTCTGACCTGTTTGGATGTCTTAAAAGTGTTTAAATTGTGGCATGTACTTGCCCTAACACGAACGGCCGAAATTTTTATTTTGTGCTGCGTCTCTCTGAGTGAAAATGCGAGTTGGGTCTAAGTTTCTTTTTTTTAATCTTTATTTTTTTAAATATGACAGTAAGTTAATGACAGGAAATCCTATTCTGATTCATCTTTTTTCGTTCTAAATCCCACATGAAGATAAGGTTTAAGATTTAAGTTAAGTAAGCTATGTGGATTCTGAAATCCAAAGGAAACACGTAATTCTTTATATTGGAATCTTATCTTTGGTGGATTCTCTTTTCCTTCTCTCCCTTTCTCCTCTTTTCCTATTTCTCTCCTTCTCTCCATTCTTTCTGCTTATCACCCTATCCCATTTTCTCCTACCTCTCTCCCTTTCCCCTCTTCTTTACCCTTCCTCTCTTCCCCTACATCTCTCCCCTTCCTTCGCTTTCACTCGCTCCCTCTCTCCTCCCTCCCCTCATCCCTTCCTCTCTCCTCCTTTCCCTCTCCTCCCCATCACCCCTTCCTCTCTCCTCCTTTCCCTCTCCTTCCCCTCTCCTCCTCACCCCTTCCCCTCTCCTCCCTCCCCTCTCCTCTTTTTTCTTCCCATCAAACATCCATCACTTGTCAATCCGTCAAAGTTCTGAGGGGAAATGTTTAAAGAAAAGGTGATGATTCATGATATTTTTCCTCACAAGATGCACCCAGCTCATGACCTAGTGGAGGGAGATGGTGGTGACGTCATGAGGAATTCGGAAATAGTGCGAATGAAAGTGTTGGTTTAGCGAGTGAGGTAGATCAGAGCGTTGATTGAAGAGTGAGATATGAGTATAGTGTGGTTGGATGTTTTATGAGGTGAAGTATAGTGTGGTTGGATGTTTTATGAGGTGAAGTATAGTGTGGTTGGATGTTTTATGAGGTGAAGTATAGTGTGGTTGGATGTTTTATGAGGTAAAGTATAGTGTTTTTTTTTTTTTTTTAGTTTTATGAGGTGAAGTATAGTGTTTTTTTTATAGTTTTATGAGGTGAAGTATAGAGTTTTTTTTTTAGAGTTTTATGGGGCAAAGTAGAGTACGGTTTGATGTTTTATGAGGCAAAGTATAGTGATGTTTATATTTTATGAGGCAAAGTATAGTGATGTTTATGTTTTATGAGTCAAAGTACAGTATTTTTTAAAAAAGTTTTATGAGGCAAAGTATAGTGGTGTTTGAAGTTTTATGAGGTAAAGTATAGTGTAGTTTGATGATTTAAAAAAATCATGAGGCAGCGTATAGCGTCGTTTAAAGGGTATTGTGGATGAAGTGGATTTAGATATAGTGTGAATTAAAGTGTAAAGTGGATGCAAGTGTTACCGGGGTAAATTTATGGCAGTATAAGTGTAGACAAGTAGGTATGATGTTGTAATATAACCGTATTAAACTTATTAAATTCGTCACATGGGATATGATAAGTTTGATTGATGGCATTACATAATATTAACTGAAAACGTAATATACGGATCAGACAAAACATAAATAGGCCTAGTAACAAAAATCACAATTCACTAAGTTCTGTTTCTTCACTAAGTTCTGTTTCTTCACTAAGTTCTGTTTCTTCACTAAGTTCTGTTTCTTCACTAAGTTCTGTTTCTTCACTAAGTTCTGTTTCCTCACTAAGTTCTGTTTCTTCACTAAGTTCTGTTTCTTCACTAAGTCCTGTTTCTTCACTAAGTTCTGTTTCTTCACTAAGTTCTGTTTCTTCACTAAGTCCTGTTTCTTCACTAAGTTCTGTTTCTTCACTAAGTTCTGTTTCTTCACTAAGTTCTGTTTCTTCACTAAGTTCTGTTTCTTCACTAAGTTCTGTTTCTTCACTAAGTTCTGTTTCTTCACTAAGTTCTGTTTCTTCACTAAGTTCTGTTTCTTCACTAAGTTCTGTTTCTTCACTAAGTTCTGTTTCTTCACTAAGTTCTGTTTCTTCACTAAGTCCTGTTTCTTCACTAAGTTCTGTATCTTCACTAAGTTCTGTATCTTCACTAAGTCCTGTTTCTTCACTAAGTTCTGTATCTTCACTAAGTTCTGTTTCTTCACTAAGTTCTGTTTCTTCACTAAGTTCTGTATCTTCACTAAGTTCTGTTTCTTCACTAAGTTCTGTATCTTCACTAAGTTCTGTATCTTCACTAAGTTCTGTTTCTTCACTAAGTTCTGTTTCTTCACTAAGTTGTGTTTCCTCACTAAGTTCTGTTTCTTCACTAAGTTGTGTTTCTTCACTAAGTTCTGTTTCTTCACTAAGTTGTGTTTCCTCACTAAGTTTTGTTTCCTCACTAAGTTCTGTTTCTTCACTAAGTTCTGTTTCTTCACTAAGTTCTGTTTCTTACATCATTTCCTCCTTTCTGTTTCTGTGAGTCATAGAAGGCAATGTAAGCAAATTCAGTCATTGTTTGTTTACTAGAAATACAACTCGGCCTGACGTATCTGTTAAGAATGTGCTCTCCTTTATACGTTTAGTGATCATGTGATTTATTCTCTTTCTCTCTCTCTCTTTCTATCCTTGTCTTTATTTCGTCTCCTTTTCTCCTCTTCTTCTGGTTCGTGTTTCTTTTTACTTCCTTTCTCTACTTCTGACTTCCGTTCGTCTATTCTCTCTCTCTCTCTCTCGTTATCCGGCTCTTCTTTTCGACACTGTTATGTCTTCCTTCTCCTATTTCCTCTGATCCTCCCTCCCCCCCCCCTTTTTTTCATCCCCGACCCTAACCTCTCCCTCCCCCCATCCCCACCCCGTCCTTTCCCTTCCCCTCTCTCTCCCCCATTTCCACTTCTTCCGCACCTCTCCCCCACCTTTCCTTCCTTCTTCCACTTTATCCTCTTCCTCTTCCTCCCTCCATCATCCTTCCCCCTTCCCTCCCTTCCTCTTCCTCCATCCATTTCTAGATTCCCTCCCTCCCTCCCTCCCTCCCTCCCTCATTCCTTCCCCCCTCCCTTCCTCCCCACCTCCTTCCTCCCCCCCTCCTTTCCTCCACCCCCCCCATTCCTCCTCCTCCCTCCCCCCTTCCCACCCTTCCTGTCCTCCCCCTTCCACCTCCACCCTTCCTCTTCTTCCCTCCCTCCCTCCCTCCCTCCTCCCCCCTCCTCCCCTCTCCAGACCTCAATGTTCTACTGTGCTTGATTCTCCCAAACGTCTCGCACACTTTGGCTCCGTGCTTTCGTGCTTGGATTTTCTTCTCTGCTACTTAGAGAGAGACTTTGCTAGTGTGTTTGCCTGAGTTTTGTTATATAGCTCTTAAAGCCGAACACATCAAGGGGTAGTAAAGAAAAAAAAAGAAGAAAAGAAGAAAAAGAAGAAAAAAGCCTGTTATTGTTATTATTGTTATTATTACTATTATTGTTATTATTATTTCTATTATTATTATTATTATTATCATTATCATTATCTTTTTTGGGGGGTGCACTTATACAAACTTCCTTAACTGACATTGACTCATCTGGGAACTTTGGCACGTTTGTCTCAAGTTATCTCTCTGTAGACTGAATAACGAAGACGTCATTAAGGAAATTCATTAAGAAAATTGATAATGGATAGATATTTTCCTAACTGGATACTATCTGGGGTTTTCTGTTTAAATGATTTAAAACGTTATTGTGAAAGATTTTGAGAGAGAGAGAGAGATAGAGAAAGAAAGAGAAAAAGAAAAGACAGAGAAAGAGAGAGAGAGGGAGAGGGAGAAAGAGAGAGAGAGAGAGAGAGAGAGAGAGAGAGAGAGAGAGAGAGAGAGAGAGAGAGAGAGAGAGAGAGAGAGAGAGAGAGAGAGAGAGAGAGGGATAAACAGACAGACAGACAGACATACAGACAGACATACAGACAGACAGAAAGAAAGACACAGGCAGACAAACAGACATAGAGATTTATCCTATATAATTTGCTTTACGAATTCACATTTGCCTTTAGATTCATTGATTCATATCAACATTTATGCATTTGGGACAGAAACTGATCGAAGAAAAGGCCACAGGCAAGCAATCAATCCCATGCAACCTTAATGGACCAGGTTGCAGGTAGACTCAACATTATGTAGACTATATTGTGCATCGCATTCTCACGCTCTCTCATTGTCTCTGTTTCTCTTTCATTTTCTTTTTCCTTTGCCTTCTTCTTTCTCTTTCCCTCTTTTATTTTATTTTTCCCTTTGCTTCTCTCACTCTTTCTTTCCCTTCTTTCATTTTTTTCCCTTTTTTTTTCTTTGTTTCTCTCATTGGCTCTCTGTTTTTTCTCTTTGTGAAAGAGAGGGAGGGAGGGAGGGAGAGAGAGAGAGAGAGAGAGAGAGAGAGAGAGAGAGAGAGAGAGAGAGAGAGAGAGAGAGAGAGAGAGAGAGAGAGAGAGAGAGAGAGAGAGAGAGAGAGTGAGAGAGAGAAAGAGAGAGGGGGAGAGAGAGAGAGAGAGAAAGAAAGAAAGAAAGAAAAAAGCTGACGAGCTGACTAATTAAAACAAACACAATAAAAAAAATCAATGTTGCAGCAACTTTACGTAACCTTATTTTTACCCTATGACGTTGGGGATCCTTTGGCAATGC